GACAGCCAGCCACATGTAAATCAATGATTTTAGAACATACCCTCACACCATACATAAAAATAAACTCAAAATGGCTTAAAGACTTAAAAATATAAGACATGACACCACAAAACTCCTAGAAGAGAATATAGGCAAAACATTCCCTGACATAAATCGTACCAATGTTTTCTTAGGTCAGTCTCCCAAAACAATAGAAATAAAAGCAAAAATAAATAAATGGAACCTAATCAAACTTACAAGCTTTTGCACAGCAAAGGAAACCATAAACAGAATGAAAAGGCAACCTACGGACTGGGAGAAAATATTTGTAAATGATGTGACTGACAGGCCTTTATTTCCAAAATATACAAACAGCTCATACAACTCAATAACAAAAAAACAAACAACCCAATCGAAAAACGGCCAGAACACCTAAATCGACATTTCTCCAAAGAAGACCTACAGATGGCCAAGAGGCACAAGAAAAGCTGCTCAACATCACTAATTATTAGAGAAATGCAAATCAAAACTACAATGAGGTACCACCTCACACTGGTCAGAATGGCCATTATCAAAAAGTCTCCAGGGCTTCCCTGGTGGCACAGGGGTTAAGAATCTGCCTGCCAAGGCAGGGGACAGGGGTTCAAGCCCTGTTCTGGGAAGATCCCACATGCCGCAGAGCAACTAAGCCCGTGTGCCACAACTACTGAGCCTGTGCTCTAGAGCCCGTGAGCCACAACTACTGAGCCTGCGTGCCACAACTACTGAGGCTGCGTGCCACAACTACTGAAGCCCACGCACCTAGAGCCCGTGCTGCACAACAAGACAAACCACCGCAATGAGAAGCCTGCGCACCACAACGAAGTGTAGCCGTCACTCGCCGCAACTAGAGAAAGCCAGCGCGCAGCGACAAAGACCCAATGCAGCCACAAATTTTTTTAAAAAGTCTACAAATAATAAATGTTGGAGATGGGGTGGAGAAAAGAGAACCCTCCTACACTGCTGGTGGGAATGTAAATTGGTGCAGCCATTATGGAAAACAGTATGGAGATTCCTCAAAAAATTAAAAATTGAGTTGCCGTATGATCCAGCAATCCCACTCCTGGGCATATACGCAGACAAAAATATAATTCAAAAAATACATGCACCCCTATGTTTATAGCAGCACTATTTACAATAGCCAAGACATGGAAACAACCTAAATGTCCATTGACAGATGAATGGATAAAGAAGATGTGGTGTGTATGTGTGTCTATATGTATATATATATAGAGAGAGAGACACACACACACATACATACACACAATGGAATATTACTTGGCCATAAATAATGAAATAATGCCATTTGCAGCAATGTGGATGGACCTAGAGATTATCGTATCAGTCAGAAAAAGAAAGACAAATACCATATGGTATCACTTATATGTGGAATCTAAAATACGACACAAATGAACGTATCTATGAAACAGAAACAGCCTCACAGACATAGAGAACAGATTGCCAAGGGGGGAGGCAAGGGGGGGAGAGAAGGACTGGGAGTTTGGGATTAGCAGATGCAAACTAGGGTATCTAGGATGGATAAACAACAAGGTCCTACTGTACAGCACAGGGAACTATACTCAATATCCTGTTATAAACCATAATGGAAAAGAATACGAAAAAGAATATATATGTATAACTGAGTCACTTTGCTGTACAGCAGAAATTAACACAACATTGTAAATCAACAATATTCAATAAATTTAAAAAAAATAACACTAATGTCAAACCATTTATTTTATGGATGATGAACAGGGGACACAGAGAAGTTATGATATTTAGCCAAGGGCCTGAGCTGGCACAAGACTCCTACTCTTGGCTGTTTTCCTCACATCAGTGCCTCCATAGCCTTACTATTATCTTATCTCAGTGGGTTTCCCAGGGCAGAGGCAGTGGGCCTCTTCTTGGATGGAAAAAATATTATCTGGCTATATAGATGCATCTGTAGACAGCAGGTTTACCACATGATGGTTGTGCTCTGGCTGGGCCGTCTCCAAGGACATAGTTCTCAAGGGTCAGTCCCCTAGAGAAGGGACTTACCAGCTCCTTGGGGCCCTCCTGCTCCTCTGGTACAGGTACTTCTGGGAGCAGGCACGAGTCAGAGGGGCCCTGCCTAGCTTGCTCCTGTGGAAATGTGCTCTTCAGTTAACCCTCGGGTGAAGAAGTGGGGCGGGTGAGTTTCAGACCAAAACTTCTGCTCTCCATTGCTTAAATGACAAATCGGCACATAGTATATTGCCTCTAGTTTGAATGTAAAAAAAAAAAAAATCATACAAAAACATGTTCTTAAGGTTTATGGGGTTACAAGCCCCTTTCAGAATCTAAAGATCTTTCCACAGAAAAATGTACATACTTCATAAATTAACACATATTTCAAGGAGTCCATGGACCACTTTCCATTCATGGGCTCTTGGGGGGGCTCCTGGACCACTACCCATTACCCACCCTCCACTCACAGCTAAAATTACACTAACAGTGGTTACCTCCTAAGTGGTAAGATCCTAGAGGACTTTTCATTTTTAAAAATCATTTTTTGTATTTTCCAAATTTTCTATGGTCACCATTCTTTTGCTTAGTATAATTAGAAAAAGTGTTATATAAAAACATAAAACTACCCATCCAAAACTCCTATCATCTGTGTTCATATGTTAGCTTTCAAGCACCTCACAGCCCTTCATAAAGCTCAGACATGCCAACTGCTCAAGTGAATTTTTACGTTACTGATCCTAATACTGTTTGTACTGATACTTCAGATATGGCATATTTTACTGTACTTCGGTCTGAGATATTCAAATCTATGTATCTTATTATTGTAGGTGTTTTCACAAAACTTCCCCCAACTGAATATGTCTGAAGAAAATGTTCCATTGGCTATCTCAGTTAGTTAAAAATCTCTTTCTCTCGTGCGTGCCCTTTAATTCTTTCTGACTGCTGATGACTATTTACTCAGCTCTACAACTGTATTCTCCTCAATGTCAGTCTAAGCTAAATGGGAACCCAAAAAAGTTGTCTTGTCCAGGAGGCAGATTAGATCCCAATGACACCGGATGTAGACTCTAGCCCTGAAAAGCAGACATGGAAGGCATACTTCCAATGAATGAGCTACAATATCATAAGTAAAACTGGAACAAATGGGTGAAGTCATCTTAGAGAATTCTAGGGAATATCTGCTATAAGACACAGGAAGAATGTGCCTCAGAAATTATCTCAATACATAAGTGACATAATATGACGCAGCCTTAATGGTGTTCCACCCCAGACAATGCATTCCTGTCCTCTCATTCTCCCATCCAGGTCTATGACTGGGTTTCTAAGCCAGGAGTCTCCTCTTCAACAGACAGAAACACCTCAGAATCTTATTCTTAAAAAGAGTCCCGAGGCAGTTCTCCCTAAAGGGCTGACTTAAGGCTGCTAAGGATCAGGAGGGATGTAATCAACAATGTCAACAGGCCAGGCTGGCATAGCCACAGCTGCACCAGGACTGATCAGCCAGTAAGAGATTAACAGATAGACGTTGCTCTGGAATTCCATTTTCTCTCATGCGCTGTGAGTGAAAATGGGAGTGAGAGTTGAGTGAGCCCATGATAAATGCTGAGGTGCTGCTGAGCCGAGGTCATGGAGAGAAACCTTGATTACCAGCTACTGAGATTCCAGTGAAGCTGCTACTGGCTCAGCCCTGGGAGAGTGAGCGCTGTTGGCAGGGACTGAACATGTCCACATAGCTGTGGGCTGCTTGGCTGGCTAGGGCAAGGCTGCCAGTGTTGCCCTCTATAGGAGGGGCAGTCAGCCAGAGCAGAAAGCGCATGTGCTTAGAGGCAGACAACTGAGTTCACATTCAGGCTCTGCCACTTGGTAGCTCTGTGGCCCAGAGCAAATTCTTTGACCACTCTGACCCTCAGTTCCTTCATCTGTAACACAGAGATATCAATGCCTATCTTGCAGGATTATTTTGAGGGTTAAATGAAGTAACTTATCTGATATGTGTTAGCAGCACTCACTAAATGGCAAGGTAACTTCTTGTTCCCTGGTCAAATCCACTTGCTGCTACTCAGCCACAGTGATTTTCCAAAGCAGAAATCTGACTTCTCTGCTTAAAACATTTCAGGGGCTCCCCCTTTTCTCCCAAGATAAAGAACGAAATCCTGATGATCTACGAAGCCCTGCATGTCGTGGTCCTTGTCAACCTCTCTCCCTTGCTCTCCTGTGCTCTAGCCACATGGACCTTCCTTATGCTCTCGAAAAATGTAATCCTTCCTATCTTGAAGCCTTCACACAGGCTAAAAGCCCCTTATTCCCAGATCTCACCTATCTGGTTAACAACTTCTCATAACTTCTTTGGGAAAAACGTTTCTCAACCTCCAGACTAGGTCAGGCCTCCTGACAATGCTCCCTTTACCTCTCTTTCACAGAACTTGATCTGCTTTGTAATTATATTTGGAATGACTTATACTATGCCTTAGACAGTAAGATCAAGAGGTAAGACACTGTGCTCTTTTTTGATTATCACTGACTCTCCAGGACTCAACATCAAGCACAATACCTGGCCCATTTTAGGGGCCTAAAACGTTTATTGAATAAATGAATGAATGGAAGTTCAGAGGAGGGTTGGAAAGCATTCGCTATTAATCTGGTTAGTATTGATACTTCTCTGCAACATTTAACCACGTTCTGCCCTGCACACTTATTAATATTTAATTCTTCCTTTCCCTGCTGGATTTCAGCTTTGTCGTATATACAACTTCAAACGTTCCATTGCCTCCATACGACAGGCTCAGAGGAGCTGCTCTGTGTTGGGGAGATGGCATGGAATGGAAGGGAGTGTTAAACGGCCTGAACAGGAACAGAGAGAAAGGTGAACTCTACCTTGAAGGTGGCTGTGGCCTGAGATAAGAATAGGTTTCCTGTCCAATCTTTCCTTCTCAGGGGCATTTGAGTTGACCTCCCTTTGCTGGGAGGTGAGGATTCAATAGGGCAACACTTACTTGTTCCCATGAAGAAATCATATGACGTTCAGCAGGCGCCTTGTCTATGATGGTCACCTCTGTCACACCTGGGGATGATTCTGAAAGAGGAAAGAGAGAGTCTGTAGAGTTTCAGTTGGTCCATTCTCACGTATTTCTACACTAGAGGTTGACTAACTCTTGAAGACTGCTCTAGGAATACCAGATCCCTCTGAGGAGCATTTATTACCCCTGTGATAAAAGCAATTGGTCCCTCAAAGGCACTTGGTCCCATAACCTAAGACCATGTAGTCTTCCTGGTAATAATGATGCCAGTATCCTTTCTATGCATCATAAAGTTTCCCTTAAGTTTTCAGAAGGCTCAAATCTTGGGATGCAGCAATAGTCCAATATACCAGCTAAGAATTCTGGACTCCACCTATCCTAGTCTTGCTTTATGCATTCACTAGTCGTGTAACCTTACATGAGTGCTCACTTCCCTTTGCATTTAGTAAGACAAGAATTACAATAATACTTTCCTTGATAAGCGAAGCAGAGGAAACAGAAATGAAGGTGCTTTGGAAAAGCAAAAAGTACCATATATACAATTTTTTTTTCTGCCTTCTGTTCAGTGTTCTTCCTAATATGTTCGGAAGCATGGTACTGTGGTAGAAAACCACTGTGAGCTTCAAGCCATTTGACCTGGGCTGAGTCCTTGCTATCCCCATGATTGGTTAGGATGGAAGACACTGTCTTGTCCCTTCAAGGGTGGTCCTATTTGGCACTGTTCCACGAAAGCCAAGATAGTGACTAATAAATGTCATTATTCAATTTTACAGCAAGGACACTGAGCCTGAGAGGTAAAGCCACAAAGCCAAGCCTCTGACTCCAAGTATGGGTCTAGTTGAGAAATGAAGAGCATGTGCAGAAGTCACTACATGCCCCTTGGCACAGCCCTTTAAAGCAGTAATCCTACGCAAATGCAGAGTCTAGCTTTAATCAGTCTTAGCATCCTACCACTCCACCTGCAGTGGGACAGAAGAATATAGAATTCCTTGCCAACAAACCAGCTGGTTACATAGGGATGTCATCTGACTATACTCACAGGGTAATCTAGTGTCTAGGGCTGCAAGAGGACACACAGCTAATGTAAGTGCCTGACATTAAGTTTTGCCGAGGCATCCATTTCAAATACATCCATCTTGAATAAACAAATTGCCACTGTAGCTGTATGACACAGCTACTAACTAAGTAACTAGGTAAGGAACCAGGCCACCCCCACCCATGAAGTTCCCCTTTCAGAAAGCCCTGGGTAACTGACCACTTGAGTGGTCGCCCACCTTTTCCCTTCTCATGCCCTAATTCTTGCTCTTATGTTTTAAATTCACCAATAGTGAACCCACAAAGCCCTAGACACCAAGTCCTTGGACCCTAATAAAGACAAAGACCCGGCTCTGCTTGCTCACTCCCAGCTACCTGGCTGTGTGGCCCTGGGCATACCATGTATCCTCCAGGACCTGTACGTAATAAAAAAATTTTTTTCAAAGTTCCCTGACAGTTGTTGCTGAGGTGTATCTTCAATCATAATAAAAACCACAATGGCTGGTCCAGCCACAACGTCAGCTCCAGTCAGGGAAATGTCTGTAGAGCTCATCCAAGTAGTACAGACCTAGGTGAGTGCCTCAGGTATTCCTAGCCAACAGCATCACTATCAATAAGCTGAGACAGACACAACACACCATTCTTCAGTTTATAACAGACCTACGTGGAGGGGCTACAGGCTCAGACAGAACTGCTGTGATACACTTCAGATGGGAACATTTCACTTTCAACCTCTGAACACCTCCGGGATAGGACAACTGGTCAACATACTGACTTTAAGAACTTTCATATAACAAGTTGCTTAGGAAGTACCCGCTGCAAAGACTCCGCTACCCAATACTTCAGCACTGATAAAGAGGAGGTGCTGGGGATGAGGAAGAGAGGGACGCACAATAAATTCCATTTGTATAATGCTCTACTTCTGGGAACTGGTATAAGTTATCTCATTTACTCTTTCAACAATCGTGTGAAGCAGGCATCGTGACTTTATTTTAAAGATAAGGAAACAGGCTCAGCAATACTAAATAATCTCACAGAACTAAATCTCTGACCACAGCCTCAGATACCAAGCCTAATGCTTTTGCTACCATGTTGCCTTAGTAGCTAATTCCAACATGAAGGGAAGTTTTCCCCTCACCACCAAGCAATTCTCAGACACCAGCTGGGTGTCCTACAATTCAACACAATCCTGACGCTATCTACCAGGAGAAGGCATCAGATCCCACAGGTTAAGAGCTCAGTCCCACAAAACTGCCCTTACTTCAGACGCTAATTGCAGGTCCAGGGTGTTACCTGTGCTTCTGACAGACTGGCTATAAATCAGGGGTTCCTATGATCCCCTCCTTGGGTTTGATTAGTTTGCTAGAGAAGTCAGGAAACCCCTTTACTTACCAGGTTGCTGGTTTATTATAAAGGATATTACAGATCAACAGGGAGATAAGATACATAGGGCAAGGTCCTGAACATAGGGGCTTCTGTCCTCGCTAAGTTTGGGGCCTGGCACAGTGGCATGAGGAAGTGTCTGGCTAACCAGTCTGGAAGCTCTCTGCATCCTCTCCTTTTGGTTTTTTACGGAGGCTTCATTACATAGGCATGCTTGCTTAAATAACTGGTCAGTTGGCAAATGACTCAACCTCCAGCCTCTCTCCCCTCCCTGGAAATCAGGTGGGGGAGTGAAAGCTCCAACACTCTAATCCTGGTTGGTTCCCTTGGGAACCAGCCCCATCTTTAGGTTACCCAAGAACTTTCCAAAAGTCACCTAATTAACATAACAAAAGACACATTCTTCTCTCCTACCACTTAGGAAATTCGAGGGGTTTTAGGAACTCTGCCTGAAACAGGGATGAAGTCTAAATATATGTTTATTATAAATCATAATACTACAGATAACCAAAAACATCATGAGGATGTTTAGAAAGCAATAGCAGTAACAAGTTGTGTTTGGTTTATTAATATGCCACATGAGAAGTAGTATCTGACTAGATATAGCCATCCCTACTCTCCTGCCTTTGTGACCAATGACAAGCATTTGTGAGCTGCCTGGCTGGAGTAATCTGTATGGCAGAGTATGAAATGAAATACTGAATGAAGATATGAAGGTCAGGTCTTCAGACACAGCACAGTCTGCTCTAGGTAACTATGACATGCCACAGATGAAAACTCTCTGTGGTAGCCTACTCCAAAGTTGGGTGCTATCACTTCCTTCCTTCACTCCCTGCCCACACCAGTTCTCCAATGAAAGGTGAAGTCTATTTCTCTGCCTCTGTGAAGAGACGTTAACAGGGGTTAGCCCGTGACTGCCCTGACCAATAAAATACGGCGAAGAGACACCATGCAAGTTTTGGACTTCAAGAGGACTGGCAGGTTCCCGTTTCCTCTTTTTGCTCTGGGCCATCACATACTAAATCCAAGCTACCCTTCTGGACAGAGAGGCCATGCTGAGGAGCACGGAGGGGCCAGACATGTGAGTGCAGAAGCCATCTTGGACTTCCAGCCTAGTTGAGCCATCAGATAATTCCAGCCCCATCTGCTATCTCATTGCATACACCTGAGAGACTCGAAATGAGACTAGTCCCACCTGGGCCTAGTCAACCCACAGGACTGGGAGAGACAGTAAACTGCTGTTTCAAACCACTGTTTTGGGGTGGTTTGTTACCCAGGAATAAATAACTGGAACAGACTGCCTAGTAGAAAACTGTCGCTGAGTCAATAATCCCTGAGGTACTCCATGAGGACCTGCTGTCACAAACTATGCACAGTTGATATGGGCCTTGAAGGATGACATGGCCATTCCTGCGGATTGGCTTAATTAACACCTACTCCTGCTCCTTCCAGTGTGCTTTCCTGTATTTTAGAGACTGGCTGGCTAAAGACTACATTTCCCAGATTCCACTGCAGCTAGGCACCCACTGGAGGCCAAGCTTTCTGCAGGGAAAACCACTCCCATAAAACCTGGAAGGAGGGAATGAGCAGGTGAGGTAGAGGGGCAAATGGGGAGACTGGCTCTTTTCACAGTCATAGTTGCGAAGGTATTTTGATCTCATGGGGTTGAGAGTTGTCGTGTGGCAGAAGCAGCAGCAGTTTCTCAATTCTGCAGCTTCCTAACCACACTAGCTGCAGGTACGTCCCACTTAGCGTCCCCTCTTCAGTTTGTTTCTCAGCTTAGAATCTGTTCCGCTTAATCTTCCAATGATTTTATGGGCTAATGCCCCTTAATCAAGCCCTTTCTGCCTTAACTAGCTAGAGTGTACTTCTAGCCTTAAACTAGCTATGTATTCTATGGTCTGCCACTAAGAACCCTGATAGACACAGACAGTTTGCATCTGTAGATTCACTTTCAGGACAAGTGAATGTGTGCAGGTCAGAGGAAGTGGTCATTTATATGATTTAAAAATTGTGGCCACGGAACCAGACAAAAAGTGTGAGAGGTTTTGGAATCCAAGATATGACACTGAAGGCCTTTAGAGTCAGAAAATAAAACTTAAGACTACATAAGATTATTCAAAGAAAACAAGTTAACAGTTTATTACACAAATCAAAGAATTGGGTAAGAAGAATACATGAAGCCAGGGCTTGAAGGTGAGGCATCTGGAGGGCTGGGGGAGGAGTAGGGTGGACTGCACATAGCCAACCTGAGGTTAATATCTTTAGAAGGACCAGCTTGTAGGGTTCACCTGTAGCTGGTGCCTTGTAATCTGGCCTTTGCATGTGTTCTACATTGATAAGGCTGTTTTGCCCATCTTTGGCTAAACCAATAAACATTTGCTATCCTTTTGGGAGTCTAAAATTTCCAGTGTCATGGGCAAAGCTCATTAACAATTCCCAGGAAATAAACATAGAATCTGGAAAATAAGGTAAAGTCTAATCTTTTTTATTTCCTTTCGCCTTGGTCTAGTTTCACTTCCTTAATAGGGTACTGCGTGCAGAGGCCTTGTACCTGGCACTTCAGACCAGAGTTCCTAGTGCAAAGCAGCTGCACCTGACATTTCAGCTTGACTCCACACCAGGTTCAGGTTTTTAGGAAGTTCTAAGGGAACAGAATAGTTATCCCCTGGAAGGTTGATTCAAGTTCAGGCTATGCCTTTAGACAACCCAGTGGCTACCACAGAAACCTGTCACACACTAAATCCTGCCACCCTGCTACCCACAGAAACAGGGCCCCTGGAGCATGATCATATAGAAACCACAGACACAATCTATTCCAGTTGCCCTGACCTAGGAAGTGAACCTCTCCCAAATGCCAAAGAGGAATGGCTCACAGATGGGAGTAGTTTTATGGGAGAGGAGAAAAGGCTGGTGGGACATGCAGTAACCTCCCACACCCAAGTCATAGAAGTGAGAAGCTACCCACCCCCATCCCCCCACCGGGACTTCCGCCCAAAAGGTGGAGTTGATAGCCCTCACCTGAGCCCTAGAGCACGGGACAGGGAAAATCTTAAGTGTTTACACAGATTCCCAGGTATGTGTATGCCATCCTACCCACAGACAGGGCTATCTGGAAGGAACAAGGTATGCTTACTGCAGGGAATAAACAGGTGAAACGTTGCTTAAGCACATCGAAGCTCATAGGAGGAGTAAAGCTCCCAAAAAAGGTGGCAGCGATTCACTGTAGGCCTCACGAAAAGGGAATACAGAGGTAATAAAGGGAAACAAAGCGGATGCAACTGCCAAAAGGGTGGTCCTAGAAACTGTAACTTGTCAACTACCCCTCATACCTCAAAGGCCAGATCCATCCAATTATTCCCCAATCTACACAAAGACTGTACAAAATCTACAAAATTAGACAAAGACTGAAAATTGGGCTTCAACAGAGATCTAGGAGGCCATGGGTGGCTAGCTAATGAACATGGTCAATGCTTCTTTCCCAAACTATAGCTTGTCAAGCCATCAGAGAGGCTCATCAAAAGACTCACTACAGGAGGGAAGCCCTATATAATTGGTTAGTTGAGCTCATGGTAACTCTTGGCATGAAAAGTATAATCAGTCGGATAGATGAGACATGTCCCATCTGCACAATGAACAACCCCCAAAACCAGACCCTCCAGAGTCCCCCAGATCAGGCCCATTCAGACCAGAGGGACATATCCTGGAGAAGACTGGCAGATTAATTTCACCGTCATGCCAAGAGTACTGGGCAATTTCAGGTATCTCTTGGTGCTAGTAGACACAATTTCTGAGTGGATAGAAGCATTCCCTGCTAGAACTGAAATGGCAGCTGAAGTGGCTAAGGCATTTCTAAAAGATATAATCGCCAGGTTTGGGCTCCCAAGATCCCTGCAAAGCAATAATGGTACAGTATTTGTGTCTCAAGTGACGAAGGAGGTAATGAGTGCCCTGGGCATAAAATGGACCTTGCACTCAGTCTGGAGACCCCAATCATCAAGGACAGAGATCCAATCAGACCCTGAAACTCAAGGTCCAATCAGCCTTAGCCAAGCTATGTTAGGAAACTCAAGAACACTGGATTAAGTTGCTTTCCATAGCCCTGCTCTGCATGTGGTTACCCCAAGGGGTAATTAAAATTAAGTCCATTTGAACTCATGTATGGTAGACCCATTCCCCAAGTCCAAGAGAAGGGACACCTTAGCCCCCTTGAAATGGAACAACTCAAGCATGCCCTCCAGGTAGGAGAAATAATGAAAGCTGTCACAGAAGATGGTGACCAGGTGCTGCCCACACCCACTGACCTGGCCCTCCACCCCTTCTGGCCAGGAGCCTGGGTGAACCTAAAAATCTCAAAAACCAGTAGCTGCAAGATCAGCTCACGGCTAAGTGGGACAGAATCCACTTGGTGACCCTAACCACCCACTCTGCCCTGAAGTTGCAGGGATCACTCCACGGGGACTTTGCACTCAAGGGAAGAGACCCCCGAGCCCCAACCCGCAGAGACACAACATGGGGCAATGGCCCCCCTGACTACTCGTGTGATCCTCTCTAAGACCCTAAGCTTTTCTCCTGTAAAATAACGAAAGCGTGACCAGGGAGACGCAGCCCTGGCACTGAGCCTTGACATCAGGGCAGACTTGCCCACAGGCCAAAGACCGAGATATTTTCATTTTTAGGAAAAATTTGACATGTCACCATTATTCTCTTGTCATTTGACATGTAACCACTGTTCTCTTAGGCCATGTATCTTAAATTGTCTGAAGTCCTTTGTCTCCAAAAGATTAGACAAATGGTGGTTGCTCAGGGCTACAAACAGGGCCAAGGCCTAGGTACAACCACACAGATCTAAAGGCAGCTGGGGACTTCCACTCCTCCACCCGGGGTGATGACAATGCCTCAAATCAGCAGGAAGTAGTTACAGAAGACAGACCTGCACCCCTCAGCGCCCCTCAAGAATGAGGAGCAGGACAAAAAGCAGGGGAGGGGTTTGTCACCCGCAAAGCCAGAATTAACAATTCCTAGGAAATAAAAAATAGAATCTGGGTAATAAAGTCTAACCTTTTTCTTTTTCCTTTGTGCTTCATCTTGTTTCACTTGTTCATAGGGTACTGTGTGCAGAGGCCTCGCACCCAGCACCTCAGACCAGAGCTCCTGGTGCAAAATGGCTGTGCAGACACCTCAATGGACTGTGTGCAGCTCTGTGTGTAACACCTCAACTCAAGATGGCCTCAGCGGGCCGTGGGCAGAGAGGCTGCACCTGGCACTGCGATCTGGAGCGCAAACAGCACAGCTGTGCTGCCATGTGAGAACTCTACCCGCTTCCCTCCCCACTGACTAGAACCCTATAAAGCAGCCCCACCCGCAGCCTGTGAGGGAGAGCTGGACTCTTGAGTGTGAGCTGGCACCTTTCCATTCTTTGACCAAAGAATAAAACTTTCCTTTGCTTCTGAACCAAACTCGGTCTCATTCTATTGGCTCTAAGGATACTGGGCAGAAGGACCCTTGTTGGGGCCTAACTCAAAGGGTTGGTAACAATAGCTGTGGCTGGTTGTTTTGCCTACCTGACCAGGCCCCAGTAAAATCTCTGGAATTTGAGTCTTAGGCAAGCTTCTCTGGGCAGAAACACTGCAAACATATTGCAGCATTTCACTGCTTAAGGAAGGAGCATATTCTATGCGACCACTCACAGCAGGGAAAACTGCAGAAGCCTATACATGCTTCCTCTAGATGCCACCTGATATGTCAAAGGTCAGATTCCCAGGCACCAGCTGACTGATATAATAAACTATAGCTGGGAGTCCTGTCTGCATCCTGTAAGTCCTTCTAGTGAATCACTGAACTTGTGGACAGTTGTGGGACCCCAAAACACGTATCCATATCTTCATTTTTAATATTTCTGAATTAGTTTGCTTTAGTTGTTTTAGTTTTGGGAAACAGCAAAAAGTTGGGTTTTGTAAGCTAGATTTAAAATCTTCTATTACTAGGTGACTTAAGCCCATTCATATTTGTTGCTATGAGGGATATGTCTGGTCTCAGCTTTATCTTAATATTTTATAATTATATGTATTATATTACACATATTTCTTTTTGAGATGGGTATCATTCGTTCCTCTCCTTAAAATATTTGGGGGAATGTATCATTTTCTACTGATGCATGATAAATTACCACAAATAAGCAGCTTTAAACAACACCTAGGTCACAGTTCTGTAGCTCAGAAGTCTGGCACAGCATGACTGGATTCTCTGCTGAGGCTGAAATCCATAAGCCAGGTGCACTGACTGCTCAGGTGTCAGCTGTTCTGTTTTCATCTGGTGCTCCAGGTCATCTTCCATTCCTGTTACTGGCAGAATTCAACTCCTTGTGGTTGTAGCAATGAAGTCTCCATTCCTTGCTTGCTGTCACCTGGGGCCACTCTCAGCTGTATTCTTTCCCATGTGTTCCCATGCACCTTCAAGGCAGCAACAGCATAACAAATCTTTCATGTTTCAAATCTCTTTGACTCCCCCTTCTGTTAACAGCATGTTGTAAAGGGCTCATGTGATTAGATTAGGCTCACCTGGATAATCTCCCTTTTGCCATTTAACACAACAAATCACAGGTGTTATATCTCATCAGTTTCACAGTCCTGGTGCAGGAAATCTTGGAGGGCTGTTTTTAGGATTCCTTTTTATTTAAAAAAAAAAAGCCTTATTGAGATATAACTCACACACCATAAAGTTCACCCTTTTAAAGTATATAATTCAGTGGTTTTTAGTATATTCACAGAGTTATGCGTCCTTTCCTGAAAAAGTAACCCTGCACCCTTTCCCATTTCCAGCATCCTCTGGCAATCACTAATTTACTTTAAGTCTCTATAGATTTGCCTACTATAGATCATATAAATGAAATCACACAACACATGGGCTTCATAACTCTTCTTTCATTTAGTTTTCAAGGTTCATCCATATTGTAGCGTGTATCAGTACTTTACTCCTTACTATTGCCAACATTTTCTATTGTATAGATATACCACATTTTTTAGACCCATTCATCAGTCGATGGACATTTGGACTGTTTCTACTTTATTACAAATAATGCTTCTAAGAACATTTGTGTACATATTTTTGCATGTGAATGTTTTCATTTCTCTTGGGTATATAACCAGAAGTGGAATTGCTAGGTCATATGGTAACTATGTTTAACTTTTTGAGGAAGTAACAAACTGTTTTCCAAAGTGAGAGTGCCATTTTACATTCCCACCTGTGGTGTATGTGTGTTCCAGTTTCTCCACTTCCTTACCAACACTTAGGTCAGTCTTTCTGATTATGGGCATCCTAGTGGGTGTGAAGTGGTATTTCACTGTGGTTTTGATTTGAATTTCCCTAATGATCAATGATGACCATCTTTACACATGCTTATTGGCCTTTGTATATCTTCTTTGGACAAATGTTTATCTATTCAGATCCTTTTAAATTGGGTTATTTGACTTTTTTTGTTGAGCTTCATAGATTCCACCCATAAGTCCCTCATTGTATATGTGATTTGCAAAAAGTCTCTCCTTTTCTGTGGATGTCTTTCCACTTTCTTGATGGTATCCTTAAAAGCACAAACATCTTTAATTTTGATGAAGTCCAATTTATCTATTTTGTTTGTTTCTTGTACTTTTGGTATCAGATCTAAGAATCTATTGCCTAATCCAAAGTCATTAAAAATGAATCCAAGGTCTATGTTTTAGCACTTACATTTATATCTAAGATCCATTTTGAGTTAATTTTTGTATTTGAATTGAGGTAGGAGTCCAACTTCATTCTTTTGCATGTGGCTATCTAGTTGTCACAAAACAGTTTGTTGAAAAGATTGTTTCTCCCCCACTGAGTTGTACAGCCATCCTTGTTGAAAATCAGTGGACCATAAATGTGTTAGTTTAGTTTTGGAGTGTTAGTTTAGTTTTGGAGTCTCAATCCTATTCCATTGATCTATATTTCTATCTTTATGCCAGTGCCACAGTGAAGACTACTGTAGCTTTGGAGTAAATTTTTTTATCATAGTAAAATATACATAAAATTTGCCATATTAACTATTTTGAAGTGTACAGTTAAGTACACTCACATCGTTGTGCAACTATTACCACTATTCATCTGCAGAACACTTTCATTATCCCAAGTGTAGTAAATTTTCAAATAGCGAAGCTTAAGTCCTCTAATTTTTGTTCCTCTTTTCCAAGATTGTTTTGGCTATTCTGGGTGTCCTTCATTTCCATATTAATTTTAGGACTGGGTTATTTGTCAATTTCTGCAAAAGAGGCAGCTGACATTTTCATAGGGATTGTAGATTTAGATCAATTTGGAGAGTATGGGATTCTAACAGTATTAAGACTTCCAAACCATAAACATGAGATGTCTTCCAATTTATTTAGGTGCTCTTCAATTTCTTTATATATTGTGTTGTAGTTTTCAGTGTATAAGTCATGCACTTCTGTTAATGTGCTTGTTTACTCCTTACTTCTGTTAATTTAACTTTTTACTAAGTATTTTACTGTTTTGACCCAATTGTAAATTGAATTGTTTCTGTAATTTTATTTTTGGATTGTTCATTGCTAATGTGTAGGGTTTTTTTCCCTTTTTTTGGTGGATTTCTTAGGACTTTTTTAATATACAAGAGCATGTTATCTGCAAATAGCTCTTTATTTCTTTCTTTCCAAATTTTATGTCTTTATTTCATTTTCTTGTCGAATTGTTCTGACTAGAATCTCCAGTAAAATGCTGAATAGAAGTTGTAAGAGGGGAGTTCTTATTGTGCAAAAAAGAGTGAACACAGCATGCCTGAGACTGCAATATTTAGAAAGGCCTGCTTGTAAGGTTGGTTCTTGGCTGGCATCCGGGAACTTGGATTTCAGGAGGGTTCCCACCATTGCCTGGTAAGAATGGCTCACTTTATTTAAAAAAAAAAAAGAATGGCTCATTGTACCTACCTGTTGTTACAATATGGTTTATGCTGAACACGAGCTTTCCGCTGGGAGTCTCAAATTTGGTACATACTAGGTAGAGGATGTCTGAATGATGGATTTCCAATAACAGGTCTGGACTTCTGGGCTCAAATAAGCTTCCCTAGTAGACAACATTTCAGATGTGTTGTCACACGTTGCTGGAACAATTGTGTCCCATGTGATTTCACTGAGAGAGGATTCTTGAAAACTTACATCTGGTTTCCTTGATTTCCCCACATGCACCTTACCCTTTGCTTCTGCTGTAATAAATCACAACATGACTGTCTGTCCTGTAATCCTCCTAGTGAACTGTCGAACCTGGTGTGGTGCTGGGGATCCCATGAATATTTGTCTTGTTCCTGATTTTAATGGGAAATCATACAGTTTTTCACCATTGAGTATAACGTTAGCCATGGATTTTTCATAGATGCCCTTTATCAGGTTGAGGAAGTCTGATTTCTGTTTTTATGTTTTCACTCTATCCCACAGTTTGGGTGTGCTCTATCATCAGAGAACACACTTTGTATGATATCAATCCTTTAAAATTTATTTCAGCTTGTCAAACATATGGTTTATTCTTGAGGTTACTCCATGTATACTTGAGAAGAATTTTTATTCTACTCTTTTAGGGTAAAGTGTTCTACGGATGTCTGTTAGGTATAGTTGATTTACAGTGTTGCTTAAGTTTACTATTTCCTTGTTGACTTTCTGCTTAGGTGTTTTATCCATTGTTATAAATAGGGCGTTTAAGTATCAAACTATTATTGTTGAATTGTCTACTTCTTTCAAGTCTGTCAGTTTTTGCTTCATATATTTTGGGCTTTTGTAGGTGCACATAGATTATAATTGTTTTGCCTTTCTGAGCATTGACACCTATTATCATTATGAACTGTCCTCCTTTGTTTCTTTTTTTTTTGCTGTACGCGGGCCTCTCACTGTTGTGGCCTCTCCCGTTGCGGAGCACAGGCTCCGGACGCACAGGTTCAGCGGCCATGGCTCACGGGCCCAGCCACTCCACAGCATGTGGGATCTTCCCGGACCGGGGCACGAACCCGTGTCCCCTGCATCAGCAGGCGGACTCTCAACCACTGCGCCACCAGGGAAGCCCTCCTCATTTGTTTCTAATAATGAACTTTGTTTTAAAGATTATTTTGCCTGATATTAGTATAGCCACTCAAGCTCTACTTTGGGTTCTATTTGCATGGTATATTTTTCCCCCATCTTTTCACTTTTAACCTATTTGTGTCATTAAATACAAAATGTGTCTCTTGTAGACTGGGTATATTTGAATCATGTTTTTGTTTTTCTAAAATCTTATGTCAATTTCTGCCTTCTCATGGGAGTGTCTAGTTTATTTACATTAAATGTAACTACTAATAAGGTAGGATTTATTTCTGCCATTATGCTATTTCCTTCTGAGTCCTCACCAGCAGTATTCTCCATATTGTTATAGTCCAGATTTCTATTACAGTCTTTTCATGGTGATTTAGACTTTCTCTATCAAGTTCCTGAAAGTTCCTCCAGCCTCCAGCCACTTCCCAGTTCCAAAGACACTTCCATTTAGGTATATGTTACAGCAGCACCCACTTCCAGGTAATAAAATATGTACTAGTTTTCTATGCTGCATAACAAATTACCACACTTAGCAGTGGTAGGACTGAGGATCCTGTTCTCTTGATGACCATGAGCTAGGAGGCTGCTCTCAGCTCCTAGAAGCCACTAGCAGTTCCTTGCTATTGGTCCTCTCCTAGGATCTCTCACAACGTGGCAGCTTAGCTTTTCAAAGCCAGGAGGAAATCTGCCTGACTTCTATATCCTCTTTTAGAATGCTCACCTGATTAGGTCAGGCCTCCCTAGGATAATGTCCCTTTTAAGTCAAAGTCAACTGATTAGGTACTTCAGTTACATACACCAAAAAATCTCTGCCTTTGTCATATAATGTAACCTAGGCCATAGAATGACATTCATCATCTTCACAGCTCCTGCCTATTTTCAAGAGTAAAGTGTTATACACAGGTAGGTGGCATTGGAGGTCATCTAAGAAATCTGCCCACCACTTACATTGTACTTATAGCCTTTCAAATGCCCTTTTAATTTGTCATTATAGATAACAACTGGTACATCATTCTTCCACTCTCCTCCCACCTTTGCTTTAGTCTTATATGTATGTACTTATGTATGTTCATGTGTATGTGTCTGTATGAAAATGATGCTCAGCATCAGTCTTTTTGCTGAAGGTTCCCCAAGCTATATTTGATTTGATGAAATCTATCCTCCAGTAGATTCCTCAGGAAGGGTTCATGGGTATAGAATTCCCTAAGTTCTTTTATTTTAAAGACAGTTTGGCTAGATATTATATCCTTGGTTCACACTTTCTTTCACTGAATTTTCTATACTTGTTCGTGTATTTTAATTTTGTTTGGAGTTTAGACTTACCATTTTCTTCTGCTTCACAGTTGTTTTTTGGTAAGAGTTTTCCTCAGCTGTCTGTTTGACATTTTATTTCCTGATTTCAGCGTTAGTTCTCTATGGGTTTTACTTTTCTCTCCTTCATTTTGCATTATTGTGCTGTTCAAAAAGATTTCTAGGTTAGTGACACTAGTTTCTAGTTTCTGTTGATTGTTCCAACTAGCCTCTTCATGGGTCTGTCTGCTTGTCACAGAGCCTTCTAGTAGTGAGGGAGTGTGGCAGGAACAATTAGGGTCTGGCCCTGTAATTTGTTGCTTTTTCTCTTTTTATTCAGCCATTCTGAACAGATGGTATTCTTTGTCTTTAAGCAATGCTGAGAGTTTGGTTTTGGATAAAAATGCAATTGTGGAGTTATTTCATATCTTTTAGGGAGGTTGTTTACCATACACCCACCACTGACTACAGCTGCCTTGTTTTAAAAACTCCCCTTAATATATTATCTTTTCAAACAAAAAACAAATGTGAAAAAATAATATACAGGCATACTCATTTTACTGCACTTTTTTGTGCAGTAAAATTGTTTTTCTCAGGTATTGGGTTTTTTACAAATTGAAGGTTTGTGGCAACCCTGCATTGTCAGATGATATTTAGCATTTTTTAGCAATAAAGTTTTTTTTAAGGTATATACATTTATTTTAGACACAATGCTATTGCACACTTAATAGACTACAGTATAGTGTAATCATAACTTTTATATGGACTGGGAAACCAAAAATTTGTGTGTCTCACTTTATTAGGATATTCACTTTATTGCAGTGGTCTGGAACCAAACCCCCAATATTTCTGAGGTATGTCTGCAAATGATTTTCGACTTGTGCTTTTTAACTTGAAATTATTAGGTTTTGATTACGTTTATAAATAGACTGTTTACAGGAGGCTAGATTTCCGAAAGTTTAACAGAGTCAGTTAATTCCTCACGTAGTTTTTGACTTGTAGCTATTACCAGTTTGCCGGACATGTGAAATGCTTAATAGATAGAATATATTAAATGCATAAATGAAATTTAAAATGTTTACAGTCAATTATTTAGGTCTTTAAATCGAGCTGACAGCTTAAGGGAAATTTAGTTGGCTTGACTTGAGTGGATTAAACATTTATCAAAAGAAAATAACTTCTTATTTAGAGAAAACTTCCTAGACTTATAAAGATACTAATGAAGCATGCCTGTGGAATAGCAAGACCTGCCTAAGTCCGGGAGTACAAGAAGCAACAGGGCAGAAGTTTGGATAAGAATGAGGAGATAGGATATGGGTGGTCTTGATGATTAGACCTCTCCTTGCCCTACTCTATAATTTCATTTCTAAAATCTATCACTTCTCCCAAACACATCAGGATGTTTCATGTCTCATTTACTGTCTTAGGCACTGGGGAATACAGGGAAGAGCAATACAAAGTTCCTATTCTCATGGACTCCTACTACAGAAAAAAAGACAGACAAAAAAACCAACCAAATAAATATATAATTTCAAGTAAAATATATAATTTCAAGTAGTGACAAAGCCGTGAGGATAAAAATAAAAGTGGGTTAAGGGAACAGAGTAATAGGGAAGGGTGTTATTAAGACTATATTCAGGAAAGGCTTCTCTGAGCTCATGGTATTTAATCAGAGATCTGAATGAAGTCGGAGACAGACATTGACAGGAAGAGAATTCCAGATGCAAGGTCTAGTAAATCGCAAAAGCCTTTAAGTGGGAATAAGCTTAGTGTGCTAATGGTACAAGGAGGCTACTGCGGCAAAGCCAGAGTGAAAATAACGTCAGAAAGACAGATGAGGGCAAATTATAGCAGACTTGTGGGCCATGGTATAGAATTTGGATTCTATTATGAATGCGATGGGAAGGCACCGAAGCATACTGTTCCGGCCTGCTTAGATTGCCTTCCTCCTTAGTTATCTGGCTAACTCCCATTTGTCTTTCAAAATTTAGCATCATCTCCCGTGGGACGTATTTCTTAACTCTCCAGGTAAGGTCAATCACCTCCTCCTGTGTGCTACTTCTGAGCGATAATAGATTATTGAACTGTGTTTGTGTTTCATTTCGTTTTATTTTATTGTTGCCCCAGCATGTAACATAGCGGTGGGTACTAAGTAAAGGTTAGTGCTTATCAAAGGTTAGTAAAGGAAAACCACCCATTCATTCAATGGTGCCAGCCTTGATTCCTCTGGACCACTTCAGGTGCCATGTACGGGGAGGCGCATGGGAATTGGTACCCTGAGAGGCTGGCTGCAACATTCCCCCAGCTCTCTCTGCTACCAGAGGCCAAGAAGGCCTCTCGGGACAGCCAACCCCCAACTGTCAGGTGCCTGCTGTCTCCCCTTTGAACATCTATGCCCGACCTTCTTGGGCCCTGTGGTGGGACTTCGGGTGGGGCGACCTTCGAGCTTCACATCTCTGTATCCACACTCCCCGCAAACCCTTCCCCGGCCTAGTCAAACACCCCATTCCCCACTTTCCCCCTTAACAACGGAAGTTACAGCCGCGATGCCCACTGGCCTACAGGGTCCGGCTCTTGCCTTCCCTCCGTGCTTCCACGGCACACCCCTCGTCCCGCAGTGGCCCCCCCCACGGCCCCCCCGTCCCACTCACCTAGGATGCGGGTGACCCCCAAGGTCAGCTTCTCCAGGTGCGGCTTGTTGCTGCCCAGCAGCGGGGGCGGGGTCTCCTCCATGGCTTGCGTCCCAGCTCCGCGCGCGGTCTGAGGAGCGGCTGGGACAGGGCGGGGGAGCGGGGCGGCCGGGAGGGCCGGACTCCGCCCGGGAGGCGCGGCCGTCAAGTTCACGGCATGCCGGGAGTTGTAGTGCTCGGAGCCTGAGAGCAAGGCCGGGCGGAGATGGGGGGCCCGGGCTGCTCTGGGAGCAGCAGTCCCACGAGGCGCTCGTTCCCGCCGCCCCGGCTGGGGCTCCACGCCACGCCGCCGGGACACAGCGACTCCACCGCCCGGACCCTCCCGCCCCGCCGGGGCCGGCTGCGTAAGCGGGGGCGGGCCTCTGCGCAGTGCGGCCAATCGGGACCGGGCCTGGAGGCCGGGGTTGGACGGCCTCGGCGGGACGCCCTGAGTGGCGGTTGTTTCAAGATGGCGGACGTGGCGGGCCACTCCAGACCCGGCGCGGCGGCGTTCTGGAGCCGCGACTGTATCCTTTGCCCGCCTGGCAGGGGGCGCCGGCGCTTTCCCCGGTGCGGCGAACGGTCGCGAGGGACGCGGAGCGCAGGGGAGAAGCTTGCCGCGGACCCCGGTGGCGGGGCCGTCCCGTCCGGCCGCCGTCCGGGTGCTGGGCTATGCTCTTGCTTGGGTATTAGGTGTCAGAGAGCCTGCCCTGTCTCCAGGCTGGAGTTCAGGCGTGGGGACTCAGCACAGATGTTTCCCAGCCCTCCTTGGCGGTGAGCTCTGGAAAGATGGCCTAGAGTCTTGGCCTCTCCTGGGGCTGGAAGGGTCCCTCTGCCCGGGATGACCTCCGGCCGGCCTAGTCTATTCGGAGTGAGCTTGTGGAGGAGTGCATGGTGTTGGGTGGTCCAAGAGCTTTTTGTCTTGGTTTAGGAGTGTCCTCAGTCTGCGTTGTTAAGAGTAAGTCAGGACCTTGTCGGACTTAGAAGGCCTGTCATTGGTGATTTATGTTCATACTGAGATCTTTGGAGAAGTGTGGACTTGGTTTCACGCGGACATGATCTGGTGATGATGATTATGGAATAGGACGCGATGCAGATTTTAGGGCCTGGAAGTGGTGTTGATTTGCATGTAGATTGCGGGTCCCACTAGCAGGACTGAAGTTCTTGGGTTGTTTTATGGTAGAGAAGCTGTGGCGCTTTTATCCTTGCGGTAGTATTCCCAGATTAGTATCTATGATGAGATGTTTGACAAAACTGGTTCTTTCCCTGTGTTAGGTAGACTGTTCTAGGCTGATCTTTGGTTCTGATAATTTGCTTCATGTTAGAGGAGTGTTACCTGAAAGGAAGGCATTCAGTGTACTGGGTGCCCGCAGAGGCAAGTCTTTTTGTCTGTTTACTAGGATTGGTGATGGCATTGTTGGAAGCATTGCTCTTAACTTTGGCAGAATCATTCTTTGCACATTCTGCTTAGCTCTCAGTAAAACTTAGAAAGTTGTATTATCAGTTACCCTTGTTGAATTACTAGGATTAAAGTGTCATGCCGTGGAAAGTGGGATATTTTTGCATTTCTTGTTGCTCCGTGTTTAGTGTTATGCACTTTCTAAACATAATTACCACTTGTGTGTGATAGGTCGGTGGGAATCAAGTGAAATCTTGTACATGGTGGATAAAAGCACACTGATGCACTGTGCAAATAAAATATTTTTTTCTTTACCTATCAGTAGAATATGTACACTGGGAACAAGTGGGCTGAATTAGGAAGTTAGGAAATTGGGATGAGTCATACTTTCTCATGAAACATTACCTCTGCATTGTTAGAATTTTGTGATAGAGATATTTGAAGATTATTAGCTTATAATGTGCTTCTTTAGTGTAATCATTTTCATAACCATCCATGTGGCTTTGGTTATTATTCCTTAACTTTCTGTATAACCAATGCTATTGTGCTGATACAGAATATGTAAGAATATTGTTCTGATATAGAGTGTGTGTGGGGCGTGAGGAGGGGAGACAGTCTGTTGCAGTGGGTCTGATTAAGTTAATAGGTATGTAAACTAAATCTATGCTCCTGGTCTTAGCAACCCTGTACTCTCAGTTATTCGTGCAGTCATATTACTCCCTATTTCATATAGAAGTCACATAGCCTTCCTTTTGTCTTACACTCTCCCTTACTCTAAACATTTATGTAAAATACTAATCTTCCCATTCAAAGTGGGGAGTTGAAATTATATGGGGAAAATGGTGATGATTACGTTCTGTAGAAATTCATATGCTTGAAAGGAATTGCAAGGTTACCACTATCACCCTTCCTATTCCACATAATGACCAATTAATATCCAGTCTCAGATATTTTCATTTTAATCTCTATAGGACATAAAAGCAATGTCAAATATAAATTTGTTACTGAATCTTTGCTAAAAAGCATAACAATAATTATCAATCATTTGATTTAGTCACGTGTCTTTTGATCTTGATCTCTTTTCTTGTCACAATGATGACTTCTCAGACCACCCCAAAGCATTTATACTTAGAACTTTCAATAGAAAAAGACCAAAAATTATGCACCTATAATCTGGTATTATTTTCACACTATTGAAAGATTTTCAGTGTTTCACCTAAGCAATTAGAGAAATATGATTGAGCGATTTCCTAGTCCTGGATGTTTCTGTCATCTGAGGACAGATCATCTGTGACTGAATATCACCTTTTTCATACTGTTGTTCTTATGAGTTATGTATCTCCTGCACAGTATGATTCAGCAGTGCTGTTTTGCACAAGGTATGTCTTTATACCCAATGTGTAAACAATGAGTATGCCATGTTGTCATTTATGGCTTAAATCTGCAAGTAGAATATGCCCCTTCGGCCATAAACTGCTTTCCTCCTTCGTTATAGCTCCTGGTAATATCAAAAGAAGTTAGTGTTTCTTCAGTATCTAAATTTGCTGAAGTGCACTCAAGTGTATTATCATTAACAATATTATGAACTTGATGTTAGTTAGAACTGTAAAGGACCTGGTCAAAACATTGCAGTAGCTATAATCTCTGCCATTGAGTTTTTAATTAAAAATAGAGACTTTACGTTGATGTTAAAATAATATACTAGTCAGGAAAATAGTTGTGGTTAGTAATAATAACATGTTGTTGGTAAGTGATTCAAACTCATAAGGTTAGGGTAGAGTGGGAAGTACTAAGTTTATTTTCTTCAGATCCTGGTTAGGGTAGGTATACTTACTTCTCTCTACCACTTCTGCCTTGGGTTTCTCATTACTACTTTAATTCCAGAAACTTGGGCATTAAAGGCTCTTTATAATTTGCTGTACTTGTCTTATTGAGGCACTTCCAAATGAACCAAGTAGAACTAAGGTGGCACATAGAACCCAATAAGAGGTCCAATATACATTTGGTATATATTGTGTCTCTTTGACTTTGCCATAAAATATATGTATTTGTTGGGAATCTTTGTATTTGAAGAAGGTGAATATTTGGGTTCTTAAGATAAAGAGCTGAAGATAGATTACAAATGATTAGAAAGGATAGGTTGGATGGAGACAATTTCAAATATTTCTGTCTTATTTATAAAAACTTTTGTTAAGGTCTGTTTATTTAGCATTTTTATACTTGAAAAGAAATTTGGCATGGATGTAGCTAGTGGGTTTTGTGTGCATATTTTGAGTAGGACAGAAAGAGAAAGATAACACTGAGTTGTTGGACAGTGCCTCATAGGATTAAATAAATATCAATTTCATTCGTTCATAGATGGTTTACCATGAGCCAGGCATGCTTTGACCTTAGGTGATACAACATTGAACAAAACGATGCAAATCTTCACCCGCTTGCTGCTTACATTTTAGTGAAATGAGATGAGTTCATGAATAAGTAAAATAATATTATATGTCCAGTGATTACAGGTGCCATGGAGAAAAATAAAACAGGAAAAGTGTAGCTATCATGGGGGTCTTTTGTGTCTGTTTTTATGCCAGTACTGTACTGTTTTGATAACTATAGCTTTGTAATATTTTGAAACCAGGAAGTGTGATACCTCCAGCTTTATTCTTCTTTCTCAAAATTGCTTTGTCTAATTGGGGTCTTTTGTGGTTTCATAAAAATTTTAGGATTGTTTGTTCTATTTCTGTGAAAAATGGCATTGGAATTTTGATAGAGATTGCATTGAATCTGTAGATTGCTTTATGGACATTTTAACAATATTCTTTCAGTTCATAAGCATGGAATATCTATTTGTGTTTTCTTCATTTTCTTTTATCAGTGTCTTATAGTTTTCAGTGGATAGGTCTTTCACCTCCTTGGTTAAGTTTATTCCTAGATATTCTATTCTTTTTTGATGCATTTGTAAATTGGATTATTTTCCTAACTTGTCTTTCTGATAGTTGGTTATTCTTATATAGAAATGCAATAGATTTTTATATATTGATTTTGTATCCTACAACTTTTGTTTATAAACAAACTGAATTTATTTATTCGTTTTAACAGTTTTTTGGTGGAGTCTTTAGGGTTTTCTATATGTAGTATCATGTGACCTGCAAATAGAAGCTTGTGAAAGCTTCTACAGTTGGTTTTTCTTAAAGAAGTAGGAAGCAGAGTTATTAGCTTAGAGTAAGGATGGGGGAGCTGGCATCTGGTTTGAGAAGAGAGGAGAAAGTGTAAAATACTTGATGAGCTTCCAAATCAAGGTGCAGCTGAGTGGGGTCCTCAGTGGCTGGTCTCTTCCAGCTGTTGAGCAGGCTCCTTTGTGAATGATCCAGAGAAGTGTAGTATGTTTTCCAGGACTCTGTTATGTCAGTCTTTCCATAGGTCATCCTTGGAGATGGAGAATGTTCTGAAAATTCATCACTACTTTATACTCTAGTTGAAGACACTGCTGTATGGAACATGTCCTGGGTCATCTTGAATTTTTTCCGCTGGGTACTTTCTCCCATGTGTATATTTCCAACAGCAAATGATTAAACATTTATTGAGCACCTGCAGTGTGTGCAGTCCCAAGGGATGTAAAAAATGAATCTGCTGTTAAAGAGTGTGCACAATTTCATTTTGTAAGGATTTTTTTTTGGATTGTATGTCAGTGAATTTAGAAATTCTTTCTCTGCTCCAGTGTTAGTTGCAGTCAATTTCCTTGGACTTGTGGGGTCTAAGTTTTTGCTTGTTTACTTGTCTTATGTGCCTCCTAAAATTTTCTAAGCTCCATCCCTGATGTCTAAGGAAATTTAAAGTTTTTAAAGGCCCTATCAGCCAAAAGCTTAAAGCTGTGATAGTGCTGCAGAGAGCTGTTAGAAACCACCTGGCAGTTCAGACAGTAAGCACCATCTTTGTGTTCCATAGGGATTCTAGGCATTTCCAATCAGCATTCCTTGAAAAGATTCCATTACTAGAATTGATTCTGAACTGAAATATATTGATTTTTTAACATGTTATTAATCCACTGTTTTATTCCAGCCTTTTCCCAGGAGGAAATAGTTAATAATTGGTTTGTCTACAAATTTTGGAAAAGAAAGTGTTTTATGAAGTAACAGAAAACTTTAGTATTTTCTAGATCATTTGGAAAAAATTGTTTAGACACTTACTTCCTGGAAGTGTAATAGAAGGTTATCAAATGGTGGACATACCTGGATTTAGATATAGTTCTGAATAAAATTTTATTTCTGGAAAGTAAACTTTCTTATTATATTGGTTCCCTTTCTATAGCAGTGTTCTAGCCTTTCTGAATTTCTCCTTTTGAAATTCAGAATAGTTCTTTTTGTCTTAAATTTCTTCAACTTGTTAAATAGTAGGGTTTCTTGAGACATTTCATGAATATACTGCAGAAGAATAAAAAATGTTTTTTGTGTTGGCATGATTGACTTGCCCTCAAACAGTGTTTGTTCTTCAAAGCTGAAGCTCACTTTGAAATTACAAATTCTTTTTTTTAATATATCTTTATTGGAGTATAATTGCTTTACAATGTTGTGTTAGTTTCTGTTGTAAAACAAAGTGAATCAGCTATAAGTATACATATATCCCCATATCCCCTCCCTCTTGAGCCTCTTCCCATCCTCCCTATCCCACCCCTCTAGGTCCTCACACAAAGCATCAGAGCTGATCTCCCTGTGCTATGCAGCAGCTTCCCACTAGCCATCCATTTTACATTTGGTACTGTATATATGTCAATGCTAAAGCTTACTTTAAAATTAAAAGCTAAAGCTCCCTTTGAAATTACGAATTCATGCCTAAAATAACTTGTCATTCACCGATGGTGAGCAAAATGGAGTATTTAACTCCTTGTTTACGAAAGGAAAGAAGATGAAAGGAAACTAATTTGAAGTGTATGTCACTTGGGAATAAGCATGGATAAACCTTTCATGGAACAAGGCCTTCCAAAATTTTTACAAAGCAGATAGTTGTGAATATATAAAGATTAACTTTAAAGGATTATTAATTTTCCTACATTTATTTTAATTATGGTGCTTTCTAGTTTTGTTTTTAAAAGCTAGTTATAAACTCCCAGGTCAAAACAAATTACAAATTATAACAGAAATACAGAACAGCAATGTTTGGATGTTGGATAATCTTTTCTAGTATTTTCCTTTATGTCTTCCTGCATAGTTTCTGATGAAGAACAGTCAGTAGTGTATGTTCCAGGTATGATTTTATGCATTAATTTGGTAAACTTCCTTTGCTTCTTAAGAGTTAGGAGAAAATAAAAACATTAGGAGAACTTTGCAGGTATAAGTAGATGCAGAACAGTTCATCAGAACCTAATTTTTTTTTTTTAATGTTTGGTATGACCCCACTAAGGTTTGAAATACTGCCTTATTTTAGGGGCTGGCTGGGCAAGTCAGCTTTTGATGAATTTACAGAATACTTCATTCATGTGTTAAAGAGCAAGAGATTCTTTTCTTGTCGTATTACAAATAATAGTTTAAATTTTATATTTCAAAAAAATGTGAAAACTTCTTTATATAGTGTTTATGTAATAGACTTTAAAGCTTACATACTGGTTGTTAAGAGATGAGTAGTAAAACTGAACCACTGGAGGCATCCTAATTATGTGAAGAATCAGATTTTTAATTTTCAATAAGTTAAGGTATGTATGGTATGTTGTAGTTTATTGGTTTTAATGTGACTTACGGATGTTCACATCCCCATTTAAAAATACTTCAGTTGAATCTTTGCATGCAAAACGTCATCTTTTCATGATTCATTATTTATTAACAGAGCCTTAAAACGAAGTTTATAAAGTAAGAGATTTCCCCATCAAGTGCCATAAGTAGAGGATATCAAGGAAGAGGTTGGTGGGGGGAGGGTTTAAGAGAATGAAAAGATATAATTTTGAAATCTTGTTTGATGGAAATCCTTAGGAATTTCTACAGAAGGAAATATCAGATCAAGACACAAGATGGTGAATCCAAAAGCTGATGTTAAACTTAAGACTTCCAGGGTGACTGCTACTTCAGTCTCCATGGAGTCTTTAAAAGGTGCAGGGGATTCAGTAGATGGACAGGTCAGTAATTTCTTTTTTTCTTTTTCTGTTTTTTTTTTTTCCTTATTCTCCAGTCTTTATAAATGCTGACCAGTAAGTCATTTTTTTGTGCTGACCAATAACTGATAGATAAGGGTAGAAGAGCCCTTGAAAAAACATTAGATGATCTACAAGCATTTTTAAAGATACAGAGGATTCTAGGATGCTTTGCTTAGTATGAATATAAAATGTGTATTACTCATTTTGTTCCAAAATGTCCAGGCTTGCTTTAAGCCTTAGTTAAGAAACATTTATTGTCTTAGTATGTCTCCAAAGACTTAAATCCTGATCTGTGTGGAGTTAGTAAATCAAATTGACAACTTTTTTCTTTTATTAGGTGTCCTTTGTGATTTTTGTTCATGTGAATTTGTTAGTTGATGATGGATAAACCTTTGTATATAAGAAAATGCTTTATTAAAACAAAATTAGCCTGTATTATTATTGTTATTATTTCCTTCGTTTGGCAAATAATATCATAAAGACTTTATTTTTATAGCTCAGTCATTGATTTCTCCTTTGTCTTTCTTTGCCTCTTTAATAGTGTCTGTACCTTCCTTTGGTATATGCTCTATCTGATAGGTTTATTTCACTTTACTTTTTGTTATATTTTGTCTCCGCAACCAGAGTTTAACTCAGGGTTTGGCAATCTATGACCTGTAGGCCAAATCTGCTTCTTCCTGTTTTGTGAGTAAAGTGTTACTGGAACACAGCCACTCTCAGTCTTTTAGTGTTACGTTATTGCCACTCTCGTATTACAATGGCAGAGGCGCTGTAAAGATGAATGCTCACAAAGCCAAAATCATTTGCTATCGAATTCTATATAAAAAATGTTTTTCAGTCCCTGGTTTATGTTCAGATATTGAAATTTTCAATGTCTAGTTTGTTACTAATTACAGTTGACCCTTGAACAACACGGGTGTTAGGGGTGTTGAACTCCGGGCAGTTGAATATTTGCGTATACCTTTTGGCTCCCCAAAACTTTACTAATAGCCTACTGTTGAATGAAAGCCTTACTGATAACATAAATAGTCAATTAACACATATTTTGAATGTTATATGTATATTTACGTATACTTTACGCATTCATGACACACCTTTTTTCTTAATTTTTTAAAAATATTTCTTAGGCTCTGTGGTTCGTCTGCAAGCTTATTCAAATTATTGTAAATCTCCAAAAAGTTTTGCAATATATTTATTGAAAAAAATCTGCTTGTAAGTAGACTTGTGCAGTTCAAACCCATGTTGTTTAAGGGTCAGCTGTTTTACATTTAGTTATCTACAGGATTTAACTGTGATTAGCTCAAAAAGCCTGCCTATGTTACTTATATCCCCAGTGTGTACACTTCACACTAGGATGTGAATAGTTGAATTTGCAAGTTCTTATCAAAAATTGAAAGTATTTTTTCATATAATGGTTTGTGTATTTTATAATGAACAGAAACTATTCCCCATTCATATCAGCTCCTGGCAGCCACTAATCTGCTTTTAGTCTCTCTGTATTTGTCTGTCCTGGACATTTCATATAACTGGAATAATGTAACATGTGGCCTTTTGTGACTGGCTTTTTTCATTTAGTATAGTGACTTCAAATTTCATCTATGTTGTATCATGTATCTTTACTTCATTTCTTTTTATGGCTCAATACATATTTTGTTTAACCACCAGTTGAAGGACATTTGGGTTGTTACAGTTTTTGGCTATTATCAATAATATTGCTGTCAACATTCATGTACAAGTTTTTGTGTGGATGTATGTTTTCAATTTTCTTGTGTATACACCTAGAAGTAGAATTTCTGGGTCATATAGTAATTCTCTGTTTACCCTTTTGATGAACTACCAAAGTAGCTATACCATTTTACATTCCACCAGCAATGTATGAGGATTCCAGATTCTCCACATTCTCACCAACACTATATATCCATCTTTTTAATTTATAATTGTCATAGTGAGTGTGAAGTGGTATCTCATTGTGGTTTTGATTTGTATTTTCCTAATGGCCAATAATGATCATCTCTTTATGTGCTTCTTGGCCATTTGTATGTGTTCTTTAGAGAAATGTCTATCCAGATCTTTTTCAATTGGGTTGTTTGTCTTATTGATGAGTTGTAAGAGTTCTTTATAGATTCCATCTCCAAGTTCCTTGTCATATATATGATTTGCAGATATTTTCTCCAATTTTGTGAATTGTCTTTTCACTTTCTTTATTTTTTTAAATAAAATTTATTTATTTTTATTTTTGGCTGCATTGGGTCTTCACTGCTGTGTGTGGGCTTTCTCTAGTTGCGGTAAATGGGGGCTTACTCTTCGTTGTGTTGTGCGGGCTACTCTTGTTGTGGAAGGAGCACAGGCTCTAGGCAAGCGGGCTTCAGTAGTTGTGGCTTGCTGGCTCTAGAGCGCAGGCCCAGTAGTTGTGGCACATGGGCTTTGTTGCTCTGCGGCATGTGGGATCTTCCCAGACCAGGGCTCGAATCCGTGTCCCCTGCATTGGCAGGCAGATTCTTAACCACTGTGCCACAAGTGAAATCCTCTTTTCACTTTCTTATTGGTGTCCTTTGAAGCTTGAAAGTTTTAAATTTTGATGAAGTCCAACTTATCAGTGTTTCCCTTTTATTTATTTAATTATTTATTTGCTGTCATATCTAAGAAATCATTGACTAAACCAAGGTCTCAAAGATTTATACCAATATCTAGGAGTTTTATAATTTTAGATATTACATTTAGGCTTTGATCCATTTTGATGTAATTTCTGTATATGCTATGGGTAGTGACCCAACTTCATTCTTTTGCATGTGGATTTCCAGTTGTCCCAGCGTCATTTGTTGCAAAGGCCATTCTTTCTCCTTTGGTTGTCTTGCCACCCTTGTTGAAAATCTGTTAATCATAAATGTGTTTGTTTCTGTAATCTCAATTCTATTCCATTGATCTATATTTCTATTTTAATCGCAATACCACACTGCTTTAGTATACTGTAGCTTTGCAGTAAGTCCTGGAATCAGGAAGTGTAAATACTCCAAGCTTGTTCTTCCTTTTCAAGGTTGTTCTGGCTATTCTGGGTCTTTTGCATTTCCATAAGAATTATAGAATCAAGTTGTCAATTTCTGCACAAAAGTCAACTTGGATTTCAGTAGCAAATGTGTTGAATCTTTTTTTTTTTTTTAATGTTGAGCCTTCTTTTAATTTTTATTTTTGTCTTTGTTGGGTCTTTGTTTCTGTGCGAGGGCTTTCTCTAGTTGTGGCAAGCGAGGGCCACTCTTCATCGCGGTGCACAGGCCTCTCACTGTCGTGGCCTCTCTTGCGGAGCACAGGCTCCAGATGCGCAGGCTCAGTAGTTGTGGCTCACAGGCCTAGTTGCTCCGCGGCATGTGGAATCTTCCCAGACCAGGGCTCGAGCCCGTGTCCCCTGCATTAGCAGGCAGATTCTCAACCACTGCGCCACCAGGGAAGCCCTGTGTTGAATCTTTTTAAAAAAAATTTTTAAAGTTTTTAATTCAAATATAGTTGATTTACAATGTTACGTTAGTTTCAGGTGTATAGTACAGTGATTCAGTTTTTTATGTATATATTGTATATATACCTATATATTATATATAGGTATATATATTTTTTCTTTTTCAGATTCTTTTCCCTTATAGGTTATTACAAAATATTGAGTATAGTTCCCTGTGCTATACAGTAGGTCCTTGATGGTTATCTGTTTTATATATATATATATATATATATATATATATAGTACTGTGTATATGTTAATCTCATAAATTAGATTGGGAATCTTTTTTTCTTAATTTAAAAAATTGTTTAATTCAATTTTTAAAGGTTACTTTCCATTTACAGTTATTACAAAATATTGGCTATATTCCTCGTGTTGTACAATACATCCTTGAGCCTATCTTACACCCCACAGTTTGTATTTCCTACTCCCCCACCCCTATGTTGTGTTGAGTCTTTAGATCCATTTGGAGAGTACTCTCAACTTAATGCTATTAAGTCTTCCAGTCCTTGAATATGGTGTGTAAAATGTCTTTCTATTTATTTAGGTCTTCTTTAATTTCTTTCAGTGATGTTTTATAGTTTTCAGTGTACATGCCTTATACTCCTTTTGTTAAATTTATTTTCAAGTATTGTGTTTTATACTTTTTGGTACTACTATTAACGGAATTGTCTTCTTAATTTCATTTTTGGATTTTTCACTGCTAGTGTCCAGAAACACAGTTGATTTTTTTTTCCTGCTACCTTTCTAAATTCATTTATTAGTTCTAATCTAATAGTTTTTTGGTAAATTCCTTACAATTTTCTATATATAAGATCATGCCATCTGTGAATAGAGATAGTTTTACATACCCCTTTTCAGTTTGGATTCCTTTTATTTCAACTGTCTTCTAAAGAGATTTAAAAATGCAACAAACTTTATAGCAAGTTCATTTTTCCATACTGATAGTCTGTTGGTCCAGTATCATTTATTAAGAGGACCATTCTTTTCCCCATTGAATTACCATGATGCTATTATAATTCAAGGAGAGACTTAAAATTTCACTACAAGTCTGGCAACTGTGAGAGGAGAAAGAAAGAAAGATTGACTAGGAGGAGTCTCAGACTTCCTTGCAGTCTGAGGTAGTGTCTGTCTGTAGAGATGTATCCTTCCCTTATTATAGCATAGCATCTTTTTTGGCAACCTCTATCCTGAATTTTGTGTTTGTCATTCTTTTGTTTTTCTATATCAGGGGTTGACAAACTTTTCTGTAAAGGGCCAGATGGAAAATATTTAGCCTCTGTGAGACACATGGTTTCTGTCTTAATTATCTAAGTCTGCCACTATAGTGTGGAAAAAGCCATATGTATGTCAATGTATAAAAGAATGTGCATGGCTGTGTTTTGTTTTGTTTTTAATTAATGTATTTATCTTTGGCTCTGTTGGGTCTTTGTTGCTGCACGCGGGCTTTCTCTAGTTGTGGCAAGTGGGGGCTACTCTTTATTGTGGTGCGCAGGCTTCTCATTGTGGTGGCTTCTCTTGTTGTGGAGCACGGGCTCTAGGCACGCAGGCTTCAGTAGTTGTGGCACGTGGGCTCAGTAGTTGTGGCTCACGGGCTCTAGAGCGCAGGCTCAGTAGTTGTGGTGCATGGGCTTAGTTGCTCCACGGCATGTGGGATCTTCCCGGACCAGGGCTTGAACCCACGTCCCCTGCATTGGCAGGCAGATTCTTAACCACTGCGCCACCAGGGAAGTCCCCCATGGCTGTGTTTTAATAAACCTTTTTTACAAAAACAAGCTTTGGGCCAGATTTGGCTTGCAGTCCTAGTTTACCAACCCCTGTCCTATATGGTCTAAACATGTATTTATTTTTTAAACAATGTTTAGTTTTATATATATTTCAAACTTTATATAAATGATCTCGTATTGTGTGATTTGCTTTTTTGTTCAACATTATGTTCCTGAGATTTATTTATGTTGCATATAGTTACATTTTATTTCCTTTCACTGATATTTCAGTCAGGGTTTAGTCAGTTATTTTAACTGAGAGTATTTAATATAAAGATTTGTTAAATTGGTGCTGGAGAACTGAAAAGCAAAAAGGGCACACTAGGTTATCGTGTAGGTAGTAACTGCAAGAAACAACCACCATCTTTAGGGCTGGGAAAACAGAACAAGTTGGAATTATTAAAACCTAGAAGCTTGGAGGGGGAGCCACTTAGAGCTGGAACTTTGACCTCCGATGATGGGAAACCAGCCTGACTGGTATTGCTATCCCCAAGCAGATATGATAAAGGCTGGTTCTATGAGGGCTAGAAGAATTACCAATTGGAATCAGCTGTTCTTGCCAGGGTAAAGATCGCTGACAGGGGTGGCACTGATAGAAACAGGAAGCAAAGAGAAAGGAATGTGTCCTTTCTTCCTCTAAGAGCCTCTGGTTCTTCCTGTGGGCAGAGTTTAACAGAATGTTGTGGCAAAGAAGAAATGAAGTTTGCAGAGTCTCAGCCTCAGCATCACAAAACAGAGTGTGGGGGATGGGTTTGAAGATGAATGTCAACAGCGTTACAACCAGTAGCTACAGAATTCCATTGTATAAATATACCACAGTTTAACTCTGGTTGACAAACATTTGTGTTTTCAGGTTTTTGCCTAAACACAATGCTGCTGAAGTTCTTGCCTGTGTGCAAGGGTTTCTGTTTTTTGTTTACTGAAATTTCTTTTAAAGCGTTTTCAGCAGTTTTTCCCATTGCCAAATCCAGTGACTTCTTTTTATATTGTTTAACTTTTTTGATCATTAGCACCAGTAACCCCACATTCTTCTTGAAACATTTTTCTCCCACAGTGTCGTATGCTCCTGATTCTCCTCTTGTCTTTTCAAAAGTCAATTTTAATTTATTTTCATCGGTTAGGAGATGATTTTTAAAAACTAATATTTTTTTAAGGAAAAATCTAAACATTATCAATAATAACATATGGCTGAGTTTTAAATCTTTAAAACTCTGACTTGAGAGCCAGACCCACATTTCTAACTTCCTGACTAAACATTTCCACATGAATATCCTCCTGGCATCTTAAATTGACCATATCTAATATCTAAAGCCAAACGCGTTTAATTTTTTTTTTTTTTTTTTTTTACCGTATCCTCTTTATCATTTCCTTTTTCTCCCCTGTCTTTTCCATATTTGGGTAGCAGTCATTCCAGGATTCATTTTAGGGGTCTTGGATTATTCTTGGCCACCTGAAGTAATTGGACTAACCTACTTCGTGGTTACGCAAATGCCAAGGATTCTTTTTTTTTTTTAACATGTTCCTTTTACATGTTACCTCCAGTTCCCTTGTGAATCCCTAGGTTTCATGGCTTTAAAGCCCCCCTTTGATGTTCAATAACTAGGAGAACTTTTTATAGCACAAGAGATAGGATAGTACAGTGGGTAAGAACATAGACTCTGGAATCAATGCTTGAGTCTTGATATTGCTACCTAACTGCTATATTCCTAGGCAAGATGTGTAACCTCCTCGTAGAATAGCAATAATACCTACCTAATAACATTGTGAAAATTAAATGGATAAGTATAAAATACTTAGAATATTCCTAATAATACTAGGTATAATGTTATCTATTATTACTATTACTCTTTGGTCTAATACCCTTTGGAATGAACCTTTGGATATATTGAGAGCTTAGAACTGGTGATTCTGCTGCCAGCCTTAGTACATCTTTAAGCAGCCGTGGGGCTATGGTGTAGGAAAGATTCTCAGTATCTTCCATTAGGTGTTTGTTTCTGTGACATTCATCAAGGGAAAGTTGTTTCCTTAATACTCCGTAACACTTAAGCAGGCACATTTTCGCCTAAGAGTTCTTTCTGTGTGCTTTTCTGTGTAAATTTCAGATGTCCCCTGGTGGACAGATAGTTCCTTAGCCTGTGTTGAGTTCACAGTAGGTTTAAATGAAATGGGTAAATAGTGTTCTATTTTACCAGATAAAAGAGATCCAAGAAATTTCATCTCCTGTGCTTATTTTAAGAAATTTCTCAAAAAGTCTTAAAAATTGTTTTTTGTGAAAGTTGATCAGAAGGATTTTTTTTTTTTTTTTTAAGAATTTCTGCAGGGGAGGAATAAAGAGTGCATCATTGAAGGATTTATGTCTTGAAGACAAAAGACGCATTGCAAACTTAATTAAAGAACTGGCCAGGTGAGACAAAACCTTCTATGAAATTCATTACTATATGAGAGAGTGGTTTTTTTGAAAATAGAAAATTACAAATATGTTCTCATGTCATTGTGTCATTGTGTCATTGATCTTATGGGAGCAGTGACTTTTAGAATAAAAGGTATCCTGTGGTGCCAAAAAGAAAAGTAGAAAAAAACGTAAAATGGAAAAGAAACACTCTCCAGTTATGTTTTCTGGTTTAATTTCCCAAATTGTTTCATGGAAATGTCTGCAGCAGTCATTTATCAAGAGGGAACATTTTGAAACTTAGCTCTGCTATTGATGTAGGTTGATATTGTAATCAGAGGCATAGCACTTTGGTTTTGCTTTAGTGTCTGAAACAGAAAAGAACATTCATTTTATTGTCATCTTTCACAAGAATACTAGTTGTCATTTTGCTAACTTCTGATACTTTCAAGTAAGGGATTTTAAATTTTGAGAATGAGAGTTCTTAGCTGTTTGGATGTACTATTCCAGTTTATTAATGATGTATATGAAGAGTATTTACTTTGTATAATTTTTTGTTAATATACATGTCAAGTTTTGGGGTCTTAAATAATAAATGAAGATGCTTATAGAGGAATGTGTTAATATAAATTATAAAAGTTAAGTTTAGGGGAAGACCATACCTAAAAACTGATAAAATTATATTTATTTTTATCATTGAATTGCATGTTTGGAAATAGTAGGTCTTTTTCTTCTTTCTCTATTTTTAATTAAAGATAACTACATGAAGTGTTTCATTTTGAGACCTTAAAAGAATGTTAGTAGAGGCTTTTCTAGAAAGACCGAAGTTAAAAATTACCTTATTAAATCATAGAATCACAGGTATAAAAGATGACAAAAAGCAGTGATGTTTTGGGGGCTTAGGTTACAAGGTCTGAACTTTCAAAGTACATGCCTTAGTCTGAATTTGATATGCCACCTGAGATAAGCAGTAACCTCTTTCACTAGAATTCTTTGACTGTTCTGTTCCCTGAGGTAGAGTTTTCATGATCTCAGGTAGTGTTTTTTGTATTGGGAAAATATTTAATTGTTAAACATTTAATTTATGATCATCTCACAAGGATTTTTACCACGAAGATGGATGTGGATGTCCTTAAAGCAATTACAGTTAGTTTGACTTCATATATACTGGTCCTGAATTGCCATTATTGTCCTGACTGATACATTTTCAGCTACCAGGCTTAGAGAGTACTTGACATCTTAGAGTATATTGTTTCGGTTTCAGTAAACTTCTGCTTTCTAGCAAAGTGCTCAATTCTTGGTAGAAGGTCATTGTGTTAGTACAAGGTTAATATTAGTACAAATTTGACTGCTAAAAACCCCTGTTATTACTATATTAACTATTAACATACAGGTATGTGGGAATAATGTATTCTTGGTTCCTTGAATTTGCTAAGTTTCCTCTGCTGGATATTTCAGTCTATGTTTTTCTACTCATACTTGCCAAACTGTGTTTTTTTTTTTCAAGACAGTTTTGTGCTAGTGGGAAAGTAGAGAGAATTCCATGTACTTCAAACACTGGCAATAAAACATTTCTAGCCTTCATGTTCTTTTACCTCTGAATTTTCAACCTGATTTCAAATAACTGGTTTCCTGTTGACAGTCATTTCTCTTTCACCTTGAGAAATAAAGTATATACTCCTTTGACCAGATATTTCCCTCTAGCTACTACCTTCTTTGTACTACAACATAACCTCATTCCTAGAAAAGAGTCTATAATATCTATAATACTGTTTTCTACTCTGTTGCATTTCATTCCCTCCTCAAACTTATTCATTTATTTTAAAATATAATATATGGAAATGCAATTTATATACGATAATATGTACCCGTTTTAATTATATATTTCACTGAGTTTTGACAAATGTAAGATTACTCCAGAAAGTTACATTGAGAACTTTTACAGTCAGTCCCCTCCTCTATCCTCCATCCCTGGCAGCCATTAATGTGATTTCTATTATTACTGCTTAGTTTTATATGTTCTGACACACCAGTATAACTGGCCCAACAGTATGTACTTTTTTCTGTCTGGCTTTTTTCCCTCAGCAAAATGATTTTTGGTGTGTGGTAAAATATACATAACATAAAATTTACCATCTTAACTGTTTTTAAGTGTACAGTTCAGTGATATTAAGTACATTCGTGTTGCTGTGTGACCGTTTCTGCCATCTATTCCCAGAACTTTTTCATCGCTGAAACTCTGTCCCCATTAAATAACTCCTCACTCTCCCCACTGCCTATTCCCTGGTAACCACTGTTCTATGTGCTTCATGAATTTGGCTGTTGTAGATACCTCATATAAGTAGAATCATATAATATTTGTCCTTTAGTATCTGATTTATTTCGGAGCATAGTGTTTTTGAGACTTTTAAAAACTTGTTTTGTATAGGAGTAATGCATTTTTTATCATTGAGTAGTATTCCATTGTATGCCTGTACCTTAATTTGTTTATCTATTCATCTATTAATGGACATTTGGGTTGTTCCAGTATTTGCCTTTTATGAATGCTGTTACTTTAACATTCATGTACAAGTCTTTGTGTGGCTATGATGTTTTATTTTTCTTCTGTAAATACTTAGGAGTGGAATTAGTTATACGTTAAGTGTATATTTAACTTTATAAAAAAACTGCCACACTGTTTCCCAATGTAGTTGTGCTATTTCACACTCCCGCTAGGAACTTACGAGAGTTCCATCATTCCGCATATTCAATAACTCTTGGTATTATCATTTCTTTGCATTTTGACCATTCTCATGAGTATAGTGATATCTCCTTGTGGAATGAATTTGTGCTTCCCCAATGATTAATGTGATGATTGGCCAGTCTTTTGTTAAGTGTCTGTTCAGATCTTTTGCCTGTTGTTTTTTGTTTTTTTTTTTTTCACTCACCCCCTTCCTTCTTGACATTGAAGTATTAGAGTTCTTTATATATTCTGGATGTAAGTTTTCAAATATTTGTTTTTTCCTCCCAACCTGCAGCTTACTTTTAATGCTCTTAATATTTTCTTTTGAAAAGCAATTTTTTTTTCTTTTGATGAAGTTCACTTCATCAGTTTTTTCTTTTATGGTTGATGTTTTTACTGTTCCATCTAAGAAATCTTGCCCATCCCACAGTAGCAAAGATTTTTTCCTATGTTAGAAAAGACTATATCTTTTCTGCAGAATTAACCTCCGCCTCCTTGTCAAAAATCAGTTGACCATATATGCATGGCCTATTTCTGGGCACTTTATTTCATTCCATTGACCTGTATGTTGCCCTGATGCCAATACCATAGTAACTTGATTACTGTCATTTTATAGTAAGTCTTGAAATCAGGTAAATCCTATTGATTTTTTGTTCTTTTTGAAAATTGGTTTGGCTCTTTGAGGTCCTTTGCATTCCACTAAATTTTAGAGTCAGCTTATTAATTCCTAAAAGAACATTGCCTCCTGGAATTTTGTTTGGGGTATATTGAATTTACAGATCAAAGTGAGGAAAATTAACATGCACTGAGTCTTCCAATCTATGAATATGTCATATCTCTCCATTATTTTTTTAGATTTTCTTTCATTTTTTTCTGCAGGATTTGTAGTTTTCAGGGGTACAGGGTGTAAAATATGCTCATATTTTGTTGTATTTATCCTTAAGTATTTTATGTTTTTTGATACTATTATAAATGGTGTAATTTTAATTTTATATTATACTGTACACTTAATTTTAAATTTTATTTCATTTCTAATTTGAAAAAAAACAGAATTGATTTTTTAATATTGACTTGGTATCCATCAACTTCTTAAAATTCACTTGTTATAGTAGTTTTTTTTGCCAGAGTACTTTGGATTTTCCACATACAGGATTATGTCATCTACAGATAAAAACAGTTTTATTTTTTCTTTACAATCTATAGATTCTTTGTTTCTTTTTCTTGCCCTTTGGCATTGGCTAGAACCTGCAGGACAATGTTGAATGAAAGTGACGAGGGTGGACATCTTTGCCTTCTTTTTGTTATCTTAAATCTTTAACTATTTAGCACAATGTAAGCTATAGGTTTTTTGTAAATGTTCTTTATCAGGTTGAGGATATTTATTTTTGTCCCTAGTTTGGTGAGGTGTTTTTTTTTTTTTTAGTCATAAATAGGAGTAGAATTTTGTCAAATGATTTTTCTTCATTTACTGTGCTGATAATATGTTTTTTTCCTCTGTTATACTCTGGTAAAATATGTTGATTGGTTTTTGAATGCTTAATTTACCTTGCCTTCCTGGCCTAAGCCTCATTTGGTCATGGTGGTTTTTGGTTTTGTTTTTCATCTATTACTGAGTTTGATTTGCTAATATTTTATTAGAGAGTTTTGTAACATGAGAAATGCTTGTAGTTTTCATGAAATGTCATTATGTATTTTTTAACTTTATGTTTTAATTATGGTAAAATACAAATAACATAAATTTTACCATCTTAACCAATTTTTAAGTCTACAGTTCAGTAGTGTTAAATGTATTCACGCTGTTGTTCAACCAGTCTCCCGAACCCTTTTCATCTTGCAAAACTAAAACTCTGTGTGCCCATTAAAGCTCCCCATTCCTCCCTCTGCCAGCCCCTGGCAGTCACCATTCTACTTTCTCTGTCTGCAAATTTTACTATTCTAGAACCTTATATATATGTCAAATCATTGTGTTTTTTACCATAATGTGGTAAAATACATATAACATACAATTGACCCGTCGTGACATTCAGTACACTAACAGTTTTGCATAACCATCACTTTTAAGTTCCAGAACGTTTTCACCCCAAAGGAAACTGTACCCATTAAGCAGTTGCTGCCCATTCTCCCTTTCCACCTAACCCCTGACAGTAGCTAAGCAGTTTTCTGTCTGTATTGATTTGCTAACTCTCGATATTTCATTTAACTGGAATCATACAATATGTGGCCTCTTGTGTCTGATTTCTTTCACTTAGCGTAATGTTTTCAAGGTCGGCTGAAAAATACCCCATTGTGTGGA